AGCAAGTGTTTCCCTCTTTGGCTTCATGCGTTTGTTTCTTGGCCTCACTTTAATCACCACCCTGAAAGCTCCACTAGCCACGGTGACAGCCTCCACTGCCAGCCTTCTGCACATCGTCTGACCTGCCAAGAACACTAACTCCGGACTTCCCTGGTGGTGCAGTGGTTAAGAATCCACCTGCCAAGGCAGGGAACACGGGTTTGATCCTGGGTCCGGGAAGATCCCACATGATGAGGAGCAACTAAGCCCGTGCGCCACAACTACTGAGCCAGTGCTCTAAAGCCCACGTGCTGCAACTACTGAAGCCCGTGTACCTAGAGCCCGTGCTCTGCAACAAGAAAAGCCACTGCAATGAGAAGCCCGCGCACCGCAACAAAGAGTAGCCCCTGCTCGCCACAACTAGAAAAAGCCTGAGTGCAGCAACGAAGCCCCAACGCAGCCAAAAAAAAAAAAAAAAAAAGGACACTTAACTCTTTGCCCTTCAGATTTTACTTTTTCTGATAATCCTTTTCTGACCTCTTGAAACTAGGCCATATGCCCCTCCTGCAAGCCCCTGTAGCCCCCAATGGTAATCCCTACTGTAGCATTGATTTCTCTGCGTTGTTTTTCCTGTCCACTGGTACCTGCTCTATCACAAGACTGTGAACTTCTCAAGAACAAGGACCTGGTTAGGGTCACTGTTGTATCCTCAGTACTCGGCTTAGTGCCTGCCTGTGCACAGCATTTAATAAATAATCAGTGAATCAATAAACCTTTATTGTTTGTGTCATACTCTTTAACACCTACTTATAAATGCCCTATATTGCTTTTATTTTCATATGTGTTAGCCTGATCTTTATAACCAGATTGCAAGTTTCTGGAAGATAGCAAATGTGCTCAGTACTTCTAAGTCAGAGGTTACTGACACAAAAACTGACACATTATTAAAAACTAATAATTATTCAGGGCTCAATGAATGTCAACAATCCAAAGATGTAGGTACTATTTTTCTCTCTCTCTCCCTCCGTATGAGGAAACTGAGTCAGGGAGTTTAGTAGATTCCCTAAGATGACACAGCTAGTAAGCGACAGAGCTGGGATTTGAATCCTGACATTTGTGCCTGTATTCTCAATCCCTATAATCAGAGGCTGAGGAAACTTGGAATTACAGATGTTAAGTAATTTACCCAAGGTCATACTGTAGTGCTGGGACTGGGACCCAGGTCTTCCCAAAGCCTGCACTCTTAATTGCACTGCTTCTTTTGCTTAAATAAACGTGCTAAAGCTCATACTGGGTGTTGATAAATTTTGAAAGCTGCAGATCCAGTTTACTGAGATTGGAGAATATTAAATTCCCTTCCAAAAGAAGCATAATTGTAGTTTACCGAGTTAATTTACCTTAAACATCGCCAGCCTAGTCTTACCAGCCAATTAAGTTTATGGTCTCTACTTCTCTCCCTTCAATGCTGAAGGCTGTTTTCCTCAATGTGAAAGCCTTGTTTTCTAAGACTGGCCTCTAACTCAAAATCAGCCCTCATTCAGGAATTTACTCTTCCCTTTATTTCCCAAAACCAGTGATGTGATTGATGTTCCTAAGTTCCCTGCTCTTGTGGCCCCTCATCTCCCCAACGTGGAATGTCTTGTTTCTGAAAGTAGCCTGTGATCCACAAACCTTCTTGGCTGTTTTATTGCTTACCCTTAAAAAATTACTATTCTCTGTCAGCTTAGACTCTTTTCCTCACATACTCTGCTTTTTCCCTTTATTGCAAACATTTATTAAACACTTAACTAAGTACTAATATGGACATAATCTAACTCACTGAAGGCCATACTTTAGAAACGGCCTTGAAGTTTAGATCTTTTGACTGGACTATGATTTCCTTAACAAACTTCATAAAACCATCTCCTGCTCAGTTTGCAATTGTACACCCAAATATCTTTCAGCAAAATCTCAGTGGCCACTTCCACAGCACATAATATGGAGAGAATATCGGGAGTCAACTCATTAGATCTTACCACGAAGAATTTTTTACCAACACCTTGGCCCTTTTGCTGACAAAAGGATTCTTAAGCCTTTTAACAGCGTTATGGCTTCCTTAGAGCTCTTCTACGTTCAAAATGAACTGTCCAGCTTTCTTGGGAAATGCTCTGGAGGCTCTTTCCTGAACTAACTGTACAGCTTTGTCTCTCTGGATTAAGCACTGATTTAATATGAAACCAACAGTTAAACATCTCTGAAATAGTAAAATATGATTATATTTCACAACGTTGTCTTCAGGATATAAACAATCCAAAGTGACTATTTGGGTAGTGCTGTATCACATTATTATTGTAGTAATATTTTCAGAAGAAATCTGAAGTTTAGAATAACTATAGGCCATAAAATATGGACATACTGCACTAACACATGAAGCAAAGTTCAAATTTGTATTCTAAGAAAAAGACCAAAACATCACCAATGATGATGACAGGCACATCTCTGAACTTGATCTGGAAGGAAGGTACTGAACCGGTTGTAACAGAATATGCCTTTGAAGGATTGAGCAACAAGTCCGTCATTCTCGAAAAAAATTAAATCATCCTGATAAATGTCTTAGTTATAAGGGAGAAAAAGCAGAGATGACTAAGCTGATAAAAATCTCCTCTGGCCTGTCTTATATCTCTTCCAGGCAGTGCTGTTCCTCAAAAGACACACGGCACAAAATATGATTTTGCTGTTATATCAAAGTGTGTAAGTTAGGGAAGATAGCAGTTTTTTAAACAGAAAATTAGATGATAATAGCAACAGGTAAAGAAGCTTTGGGCTTCTGAGGAGGAAGTCCTGGCACCCCTACATAGGCACAGTAGATAAACTGAAAACGGTACAAGTGCTGGTCTGAGTACAGCCTGTCTCTATTGTAATCAGAAGGAAGAGTATTACAATCCAGCAGAAGTAGCCGTTCAAAGTCTAAAGGGGAGCATTTCATCAGACAATAATTGAGCACTCACTGCATACAAAGGCAACAGATTAGGTGCTGAGGGATCCAAAAGAACCCCCTGCTTCTCTGAAATTAGAACTGTATTCTCATTTTCTCAAGCCAATGTATTTTATGTAATGAAACAAAATATGCATCATAGATCTCTTGCAGTGGTGTAAGAGTATTCAGGACCTGCAAGGAAAACTGTGCAAAGAACCTTCCCCTTCAGTCTTTTCCCTGTAGAAATATCCTACTGGTTCCCTGAAAATAGTGTAAGCTTTCTTTAGCAAGTGAAATACCACCCTGTTACTCTCTCCCTTTTACCCTGTTTCACTTTTTTTCATAACACTTAAGACCGCTTGACATTTTATAGATTTGTCATCTGTCTTTCTCAACTAGAATGTAAGCTTCATGAAGGCAGAGATTTCAAAATATTTTGTTCGCAGATATATTCTCAGTATCTCAGTATCCAGAACTATATCTAGGGCTTCCCTGGTGGTGCAGTGGTTAAGAATCCGCTTGCCAGTGCAGGGGACATGGGTTCGAGTCCTGGTCCGGGAAGATCCCACATGCTGCGGAGCAACTAAGCCCGTGCGCCACAACTACTGAGCCTGCGCTCTAGAGTCTGCGCTCTAGAGCCTGCGAGCCACAACTACTGAGGCTGAATGCTACAACTACTGAAGCCCGCGTGCCTAGAGCCCGTGCTCCGCAACGAGAAGCCACCACAATGAGAAGGCCACGTACCACAACAGAGTAGCCCCCACTTGCCACAACTAGAGAAAGTCCACACGCAGCAACGAAGACCCAATGCAGCCAAAAATAAATAAATAAATTAAAAGAAAAAAAAAGAACTATATCTAGCATGTAGTTGTAGGAGGTTCTTAAAATTTTTGTAAAATTAATAAAAGCATTAAAAAGACACCTGAATATTATGTTAGAATTATTAAGTTATAAAATTTTGGCGTATCTGTGTATATATGTGTGGGTGTGAGAGTAAATTTACAGACTCCATACAGTGTGATTCCCAGTGGACACCAAGTCAGGAGTCAGAGGATCACAAGCTTGTGTGGGGAGTTAGGAGAGTGATTGCAAAAACAAAGCAACATGTCTTATTTAATGGATGGAAGGAATCAAACATTGTCAGCAAACATCTCCAAAGAGTAAACTAAATGTATCTTTCTGTCCTTTCCATGTCTGAAATCTGAGTGTAGTGAATCCAAATTCACTTCAGATTAGTTGGTTTGACATTAGCTTTCTTCCTTGAGAAACCTTTTGACATTTATGTAGTAAAGTTTTCTTCTTTTCCCTCCTCCCTAAATTACTGCCTGCAAGATGCAAGACCTCAGATCCAAACAGTCTCCCATTTCTATTTTGAGATTTGCCTGAGTCACAAGGTAATCTTGGCAAATCACTCTGCTCTATCTCTTAGTTTACTGAGGCTGCCTGGGAACTGGAGCTGTCAGCCAAACAGGAAGAGGGCTGTGTTGCCTAACTCCAGAAGGTCTCAGTCCTATGGATGTGGTGAGGTTTAATGATGGATATAAACGGCTGCAGATGGAATTCCCACAGGGTGGGGGTGGCGGGGGGGAAGGCAAACATTTTACTTCCTCTATAGGAACTCAGGGCTGGTAGAAAGGCCAGACTATTAAATATAGCTGAGCAGATATCTCAATGTGTCTGCAAGACATGTGTTTCCAACTAAAGAGACCCCTTCTGTATTCCTACTTATTCCTACTATATATGACACCCCAAACCCCAGATATAAGCAAAGGTATGTGACTGATCTGACCCTGGCAAAGTTACACTATTTAAAAAAAAAAAACAGTGCTTATAAACATGTATAAACTACAAAGGCCCTTTTTCTTTTTCAAGAATGGGTGTAAAGAGCTGCTTCCACCTGGATGCTCTGATTCGTGCCCCATCCACGGTCTCAAGTTCCTCTTGGTTGTGTAGCTAGCATGTTCTCCCTAAGTGGTTCTGCCTTAGTCACTGTGATTCTAAACTCCCTGCCCCCACCCCCACCCCCAGTGATGCCTCTTGACAAAATTATTCTTTCTGTACTCACACAAATGGAAACAGAAGAGATGAAAGGCCCCGGGGATGCAGACAGTGCAGGTCTCAAGCTGAACCACTGCTAAGCACAACCTGAACTTTTCTGCCTCTCTTCGCTTGGCTGAGTTCCTCTCCTGACTCAGGGTAGAGTGATGAGCCTGGCATTGGAGGCTTAGGACCCAGGGGGCGCCTTTCAGCCGAGAGAAAAAAAAAAACACAAAAACCATCTCGCTGCAGCAAGCTGGCTGGGAAGCTCCCAGTTCTAAAGAGAGGCTGTTTACCAGAAGAGCATAACAAGGGTAGGTCTGACTGCAAGGCTGGGAACGGGAGGCAGAGCCGCCGCCAAGGGGACCCCGGTTGGACCCTGGTTGGTCAGTGATCTGCAGGACGAAGGAGGTGAGGATGCTGTTGGCCTGGCTGCAAACAATCCTCGTCGTCAGCAACATGCTCCTGGCAAAAGCCTATGGATCTGGAGGTGAGATTACTATCTTTCCTTTCTGCAGCAACTTAATGAAGCAGAAAGGGTAGAGCTCCCTATTTCCCAAGCAGGAAGGAAGATGACAGGAAACGAAGCTTTTAGCAGGTTCCTGTTGTCCCATGAAAGCCTTTTTTTTTTTTCCCCTTTCTCCTTTCCCTGCCAGGAGCTTGCAGCTCCATCTTTGCCATTAAGAACAAAGGCAAGTAGCCACTTTCTCTTTCCTTTTCCTTGCCTGTGGCTCATGAATGGATGGAACTTGGGGGTTCATCTCCCCTACTCCTAAGTACTGTTCTTTTCAGGGGCTTTGCACGGTGTCACCAGAGCGCAGGCCCTCCTCCCTCAGCCCCTTCCTGCGGCTCTCCTGCTGAGGCGAGTGGGAGTTTGGAGTCACATCCAGGCAGCGATGAGGCTGGTTCCCTCTGTCTGAAGCTCTCTTTTCCGTGACTGAATCAAGGCTTTTGTAGAATTCTCTTGGGAGGGAGAGTTGCCTGTGGAAGTGTGGCCACATCCGCAGAGAAGGGAACACAAGAGTTTATGTAACATGGAATGACAACACAGGGATGGATTTCGGGTCCGGCTGCCCACCGACCGAAAACTCCCATCGTCTCCAGGGAGAGACCTGAACCCAGGGCTCCCCAGCACCCTCCTGCAAAATGGCCCCAAGTTCCAGAGCAACAACCCCTTGGGTTGTGCAGTGCTTTCCGGCTTACGAAAGAGAAAGAAAAGAAAAAAAGCTAATACTGAGCGTTGGGGGCCGGGCACCGGCTGGGGGCTCTTCACGCGCTCTCCCTCCCTTCTCTTTCCGGCCTCACAACCCTGCGAGGCACACGGGGTTTTCCACGTGAGGGCAGCGTCTCCCAGCTGGGGTGGGCCCGGGCTCCCCTGCCCGCCACTCAGTGTCCTGTCCGGGGAACTCCTCTTCCTCACAGGCTGCTTCTGGGACAACGGCCACCTGTACCGGGCTGACCAGCCGTCTCCCGCACCGGGCCTCCTCTGTCTCAACTGGCTGGACGCGCAGAGCGGCCCGGTATCTGCCCCCGAGTCGGGTGAGTGCCTGTCCCGGGAGGCGGGCCTCGGGCGGGCGGGCGGCGGCTGCTGCGTCCCGGCCCCGGCCCATGGCGCCTTCTTTCCCCTCCCAGGCGCCGGCAACCATAGCTACTGCCGGAACCCGGACCAGGACCCACGTGGGCCCTGGTGCTACGTCAGCGGCGAGGCCGGGGCTCCCGAGAAGCGGCCTTGCAAGGACCTGCGCTGCCCAGGTACCCGCCCGGGACCCCGCGCCCAGTGGGGGCCAGAGAGCCGGCAGCGCACGTGCGGCCGCGCGACGCCGGCCGGCCCCGCCCCGCCCCGCGCCGTCCGATTGGCCAGGGCTGTCTCCAGGCCGCGGGGCCCGAAGCCCATTGGCCAGCGCCGCCGCCTGGAATGAGCTCATCCTCCGCGAGCGCCTAGTAAACAACCGTGGGCCGCGAGGCCCGGCCCCTCGGCCGAGCTCCCTGACCCATGCACCGCCTGGGGAGTGGAGACACAGAGTCTCGCGTCCCGGGTCCACGCCCTTAGTGAGACCTTGGGCGTTTACGGACCTCTTGTGGAGCGTCTGCTGTGTGCTAGGCACTCAGCTCACAGCACCCCCGCCATCCCCAAGAACCAGTTTGGGGGATCCGAGCCTCAAAGAGAAGTTCAGCGATTTACCAAAGGCAGTGGCAGGGTCCAGGTTTGAATCCAAGTTTCTTAGACTCCATAGTGCGTACTTGTGGCTCCCGGCGCAGCAAGACGATTCTCTAGGATTAAATGGGATATGTAAACATATAACATAGGGATTGGCATAAAGCTTGGGCTCAACAAACCTGAGCTGCTCAGAGGAGTCATGGATTGTTTCCTGGCATAGAGGGGGGACCCCTGGAGGAGGTGACAGCTGAGCTGGACCTTGGAAGATGGCAAGGATTTGAGCATATGAAGACGTGGGAGGCAGGAGAGGCCCTTTCTCATAGCCTTCCCCTCACCTTGGCCTCGTCCCAGCTATGGTGCAGCCCTTAGGCCTGGTCTTGCCCCTAGGTCTTGAAATAAGTGCGTTCTAAGGTGGGCCCCCTCGTCTGCCCCCAAACTCAAGGCACTTTCTGATGAGAGCTGTTTCCCACTTCACCTCCAGAGACCATTTTCCAGGGCCTGCCAACCTCTACAACAGAAACCGAGGAGGTGTCTGAAGTGCCAGGAGGAGATGAGGTGCAGGTGTTTGCTCCTGCCAACACCCTGCCTGCCCAGAGCGAGGCCGCTGCCGTGCAGCCAGTGATTGGGATCAGCCAGCGGGTGCGGGTGAACTCCAAGGAGAAAAAGGACCTGGGAACCCTGGGTATGACTGTCCACCCCTGTCCTTGTGGGATTTATTGAGAAATATTTGCTGATTATCTGGGGTGGAGATAATGGTATACCTTGTGTCCTGTGCTTGGCAGGCTACGTGCTGGGCGTTACCATGATGGTGATCATCATTGGCATTGGAGCTGGCATCGTCCTCGGTTACACCTACAAGAGGTCAGTAGCTTCTATTCTGGGCTCTCTGAGAGAGGAGAGGAAGGTCCACAAAGTCAAAGCAGACTCCTTTGTGGCATTCTTACCCATAAAGGAAGTGAGGTGTTGGAAGAGGAAAACCAGCTCAAGATGTAGAGACTTGGTTCTAGTCTTTACCAGGTGACCTTGGACAAACCCTTTCCTTTGGTGCCTTTACTCCTCACCCCAAAGCCTCCTGAGGTAGGGGTTCTTGTTCCCCATTTTACAAGTGAGGAAGCCTTCATCAGAAAGGTGAAGTAAGCTTGCTCAAGGTTATACTGCCTGGGAGTGGCTGGATTCAAACCCAGCTCTTTTGACACCACATTCCCTGCTGTCTAATCCAGCATGCCTGGTGTGGAAGTGAGTGGCCCTGCAGAAATCAGGCTGGGCTCTCATTGCAGGGACCCTGAGATTGAATTCTTTCTGTGAGTTATAAAATTCTGCTACTAGAAAAAGTTCCCAGCCACTGCAGTTGGGGCTTGAATGTCCTGAGCCATAAGCAGTGGGATCTCCTTTAGGACAGGAGGAAGGAAGTGAGTAAGAGGATAGGGAGTCTGTAAGCTACTCTACACCACATATGAGAAAGCCAGAGAGGCTACCTGGGAAACTCAGGGACATGACCTGTGGCTGGGACAGCAGAAGGAGGAATGCTTATTTTGAGAGGTCCCCTGAGATGCTATGTGGAAAAGGGTCTGAAAGCCAGTGACGGATGCATGATGATAAGCCAGAGTTATGCCCGTTTTTACAGCACTGGCTAACTCTGGGAAAATTATTTGCAAAATCTTGGGCAAAATCAGGGGATTTGACTTCTAGTCCAGAGTATGTGTGATGTTTCTTTTCTATGGTCTGGGAAGGCTTCCTATAAGGGAAGTGATGTGGTGGCCTGCATTTTCCAGTGGTGAAGACCACGTCTGAGCCCACAGCCCCAGTGGGTCACCCAGCATTAAATAAACTGAGGTGTCCTTAGGGCAATGTAGTCAGCCTCCTCATTTTACAGATGGAAAAGGGGAGGTGTTGGGTAAGAATAATAACAACAATAGCAGCAGTAGCGAACATTTACCAGAGGCCAGGCACTGCTTCAAATGATACGCACACTTTAACTCAATCCTCGCAATCACCCCTTATGAGGTAAATGCTGTTATTATCCCCAGTTTACAGATTAGGAAACTGAGGCAAGAGAGGATATGTACCTTGCTTGAGGTCACACACCTAGCATTTGGTGGAGTTAAGTCTTAGCCCTGCCACTAACTAGCGATCTGTGTGACTTTGGGCAAGTTGCTTCTGTTTGCTACTCCAGGGCACTGCTGTAGCTGAGGCATGCGACTGCCTGGCACATAGTAAGTGGTCAGTAAACCATAGCTATTTTTCTTTTCTGTAAAATGTGGGTACTGCACTAGCACTCTCTGGGCCCCAATGCTTCTCTGATTGTCTGTGATTCAGGAAGCACAGGTTCAGAGAGGGGAAGTATTGACCTGAGAGTGTCTCCTGACTCCCAGTGCAAGGTTGCTGCCCTCAGTGGGATGGTTGACGTGGCAGGTCCAGGGGCACCTGCTTGTCATTTCACAGAGTCAGAGGAAATGATGGGGAGACCCTGGTTATAGTTCGTAGTCAGACCCAAACTGTGTTGGCTGAGTCTAGCTGTTGAAATATTTCCTCCTTCTTCAGCCACTGGATAGCAGTTGGCTCTCCTCCAATCCTGTGACAGTGTCCAGGCCTCCAGGTGCGTGAACTGACTGCTAAACGTCCTTAATTGCAAGCTCAGTTCTTAGGCCCAATGAGGAAGCCAAGCCTTTTTCTTCTAGATTTGTTCCTTCAGGCTGTCACAGGATTGCCCCAAGGCCTTGTGTTTATTTTCCTGTAAACTCAGGGCGAGGCACCAAGTCACCAGACTCCCCGTCACTAACCATCGGACCACCCCTTCCCTCGGCAGAAGTGCTCTGAGCACAGACTGTACAACAGGAAACCGCATGTGGGCTGGAGGCAAGCTCTCAGCCCCCATCTCTCCCCAGAGTCAGAAAACAGTGTTCTGGAAAGCGCTGTTGAGCGCAGGTCCTGCTGCTTCCCTGCACCTCCGTTTCTTGTTTCTTGTCTGTTCAGTGGGGCTGTATCCCCACTCCACACACACACATACCCACCCCAGATTACCATTAAGTATTACGTGTAAACAGTAGAACACCAATCAGGTTAAATAACCACTAGCTGCCAGCATTTATTGTATGCTTTCTTAATAAGCGAGGCCCCACTGAATGCCCTTCCCTGATGATCACGCCCAAGCCTCAGGACCACACTAGAAGGACCACTTTTACACCGTTTTACAGTGAGGAGCTGAAAGCCAGGGAAGTTAAGTGCTGTGTCCAAGCTACACAGCCAATAAGGTGTGTCTAAGGATTGCCAGTATCTCCCAAAAGTCCAGCGAGGCCCAGGAACTTCATACCAATTTGCATTGGATTGCATAGGACAGTAGGAAAAATTGGAACTTTCAAAATAAAATAGCTGGGTTTAAAAGTTAGAAGAACCAGGATCTAGTTCTGGAACACCCAGTTCTGGGTGTGACAGTGGACAAGTCATTTACCTTCTCTGATTTCCTCATATGTAAAATAGGGGCAGGAGGTTAGTGATGATACTCCCAGCTCTAACGTTGCCTAAAAAAAGACGATATTACCTGGTGGTGGCTGCAGGCAGTACTGAGTTCAAATCCCAAATCCACCATTTGCTTGAATAAATGATTAAACCTCTGTGCATCGGCCTTCCCATCTCTGAAACAGAGATCCTAATAGATGCCACATAGGTTTGTTGTGAGGGTGAAATTAGTGTAGTTTGGGCAGACAGTTGGTGTTCCTAACCTTAGCTGTCTTGAGGAACTTGTCCTGAGCAGCAGTGTGGCACAGCACTGCTTCTGACTGAGAAGGGAGCAGTGGCTCAGAGTTACATAATAATTTGAAGGAACCCGTGTTACCTGAAGGAGGTCTCGGGTGCCTCCAATCACCCACCCAAAGAGGATGTCAGACACAGGCAGCAGCTCTGTCCACACCTGCTCTCTCTGGCCAGCCCAGCTCCCGGTCCTGGCCCCAGAGCAGTCAGGATAGAATTACTGCAAGCCATGAGCCCCCCTATCCCTCTCCCCACAAAGGCCAGGGAGAGAGCTTTCCCCTGGCCGGGAGGGGCAGGCAGGTACCAGGCTTCCTCTCAAGGGAGGCAGGGCAGCAAGTGGGGGCGGTGAGGGCTCAGCCTGGCGGATCTTTGTCCTGGTTGTCTGGGCCACGAGGTTCAGGTGGCCAGTCTGCAGCTCCCTGCCCCTGCCACTGCCCCTGCAGCGTCCGTGCTCTGGCTCTGGAGGGAGTATTTATTTTCTGATACAAAGGCAAGGGAAAAACTGTAAGTCAACACCACTCTGCCTGCTTAAGAGAGGAGCTGAGTCAGTGAATAAGTCTTTTGTTCTTTCTTGGCTGCCAGACAACAGCCTGGCTGCCCCCCCTACCCCCAAAAGGTGGTGAGAAGGGGCTGAGCCGCCTAGTGGTCAGTGCAGCAGGCCTACTGGCCTCTCTCAGACCTCAGAAGGGGCTGGGGGCAGCCTCCACACCTCCAGGACTCACAGGCACCATTAACAGGAGGCACGTGGGGTTGGGTGTGTTTTGAGGCTTCTAAATGGAAGAGACTGTCATCCAGATGAGTCCCAGCACCTGCTTCCTTCATTACCCTTGGCTGCTCTTCCAGCCCGGCTCTGCCCCCTTAATCCAAATTGATTTTTCCCCGCTAAAGCAGCAGTACCCAACCGTTTTGGCACCAGGGACCGGTTTCATGGAAGACAGTTTTTCCACGGACGGGGGTGGAGGGGGGGGGCCATGGTTCAGGCGGTAATGCGAGCGATGGGGAGCGGCAGAAGAAGCTTCGGCTCATTTGCCCGCTGCTCACCTCCTGCTGTGTGGCCCAGTTCCTAACAGGCCACAGACCTATACCAGTCCACGGCCTGGGGGTTGGGGACCCCACCCCTGCCCTAAAGACTTGTGTATGATGCAGCCTGACCATTATCAACGGCTCGGCTGACCACAGCTGGATGCTTGATAAAGGAGGTAGCTGAGGAAAGCAGGGCTTTGGAGTCAGACTCCAAAGCCTCACTTTCTTTTATAAAATGTGGGTGATATTTGCAGTCTTGCAAAGTTGGGTGGAAAGTGAACAAAGATGGTACATGTATAAAGTGTGTGGCATCCAGTAGGTGCATAGGTAGCTCTTCTCATGCTGGATGATGGGAAGGCCATTTCCTGGCACCTTAGTGGGTCCTCAGGAAGCATGAGTTCCTGCTTTCCCTCTTCCTCCAGCCCCTTAGATTTTGAAATTCAGGCCTGGCCCAAGACTCCTGGCAAATACTCTCCTTCTTTTGTAAATGGCCTTTTGGTCTTCTGCTGGCTTGGGGGCTCCCTTAATAAAATTAAACTGAGACCTTCCAAGTTTCTCCCTACATGGGCAGACTTGAAGAATCTAGCATTTTGTTTTATTACAGAGGTAGGTGTTTTCTTCGATGCGGCGGCAGCTGTAACCAATGGGCAGTGCCCAGGGGCAAAGTAAATCTCAGGCTGTGAGTGGGGATGCATTTGGTCCAGACAGCCCTGTCCTCATGGCCCTCCATGGCCCCTCTGGGTGCTCTGGGAGGTCCTCTGCTGCGGGGGGGTGGTGGTGTCCAGTACAGAGCCTGATGAGCATGGGTAGGAGCTGCAGGCTTACACATTCAGAAACTCGGCCACCCAGGGTGAGTCAGGGAGATGAGCTTACAGGTTTGCCTTCTGTGACCTTACAGTGAGAAATAGGGAGTCAGGGCACATGTCATGTGTGGGATCTCACAGAATGTTAGGGTCCGTTTAGGTTAACAAGTCCAACTCCCTGTTTTACAGATGATGAAATGAAGGCCCCAAGAGAAGGGGAGTGGCTGAGGTCACACAAATAATACTCACCTTGGCTGGTCAGTAGGAGAGTTCCCTTGGGAACCCAGATTAAGATAACGTTGCTTGGTGAGTCAAGTCGTTTTCAGGGCAAATCATAACAGCCTCCTATGAGTTTTACAGCAGTTCCACTGTTTTTGAAATGCTTTCCCATCCATTATCTTATTTGGAGGCAGATATTATCCCCATTTCACAGATGAAGAAACCAAGGCTCCCCGAGGCCAAGTGTCACACAGCCAAGGCTGGGCTGCTCCAAGTACAGACAACTGGTTTATTTAAAGACAGTTGTGAGGTACCTGTGCCAGCTTTTCCCTGTCCAGCCCCTGCTGTTTTCTCAGTGTTACTCTCCAGTCTCTGGACACTTTTGTCATCGCACCTCACATGGTGATGGCTGTGTAATCCATCTGATCTCGGCCGTCTCCCCAGGGAGTCTGAAGCAGGCCTGTGTTGCTGCACCAAGCCATCCATTGGCTACTTGTTTCAAGGCCTCTTTGGGGTGGGCTCCTTCCGGAAAGATTTCCTCTGACAGCTGAGCCCACGTATCTAGTTGCTGTGTCAGACGATGCTGACCTGCGTGCTGGGGGCTGGTGCTGGTGTGCAGTGTGCTAGGCACACACCAAGCCCTTTGGCTTGCAGTGGGGGTGGCCTGGTCCCATGGGGTGGGCAGAACATGTGCAGCTGGAAGACGGTGTGTGAGTCTCTGCCCCACTGTTTCTTTGGGGGTGACCCTGATCGGGTCAGAACTTCTGTTGAGCATCAGCCTGAGTCTGACAGACTTGGGTTTGAGCCCACCATGTCATTCGGAGAGTTCAGTTTCTCTGGACTTATTTCCTCATCTATAAAATGAATGATAAGACCCAGTTGTTAGGGTTCTGAATGAAGTGAGATAACGCTCGTAAAGCTCTTAGCATGGAGCGAGCACTTCATGTGAGTGAAATGGGGCAATATCAGGGCCTGATTGGGTCACTGAGCACCATGAGAATTGGAAGGCGTGTGAAAACTCAGGGTCCCATGGTCATTGTCTCCCATGGTCATTGTCTCCCATTGACCTGAGCAGCCCTCAGAGTCCTTTTTGGCCCCTGCATGGTCCCTGTTTCTAGCCAGGGCTCACAGCTTCTGGAAATTTTGGATAAGATGTCTCAGAACAGGATGGTCAGGTCAGTTTTCTGGACAATTTTATAGGTGAGGGCTGAAAATTCTCTGGGTCTTGTGGCACCTTGGGCTGAAAAAGCAAAACTCCACCTTGCTTTAAGAGTCTCTTTCCTACACAGTATCTTCATTGAGCCCCACTGCAGCTGTGTGAGGTTCATGCAGATGAGGTTTAGGGGCTCCTTGCTGAGTTAAGGCAGTCTGGCAGAACAGAAATCTAGGCCATGAGCCACTGACTGGCTGTGACCATGGCCAGCCCCTGCCCCTGCTGGGCCTCAAGATGCCACCTTAGGAGCAGAGCCATGCAGGAGGCACAGCCTGAACGCTTCCCTCTTCTCCTGCCAGGGGCAAGGACCTGAAAGAGCAGCATGAGCGAAAGGTGTGTGAGAGGGAGATGCAACGAATCACCCTGCCCTTGTCTGCCTTCACCAACCCCAACTGTGAGATCGTGGATGAGAAGACCATTGTGGTCCACGCCAGCCAGACTCCAGTTGACCTTCAGGAGGGCAGTGCCCCCCTCATGGGCCAGGCGGGCACTCCAGGCGCCTGAGCCCCCCATGATGGGCAGGAGCCCATGCAGACAGTGGTGCAGGACCGCCTACCCACCTACAGCTGGGAGGATCTACACTTTTTGTTGTGGTTAAAAACCCCCACTTATTTTTTTGGTTTGTTTTTGGTGAATCCTAAGACAAGCAGGTGGTACTGTGGGCTGAGGGTGAGGCTGGGTGGGGTCCTACCAATGCTGTTTCTCCATCCCATGGAGCAGGATTTTGCCCGTGAATGGAGGCAGCGGCAGTCCCCACAGCAGTGCTGCCAACAGGGCCTTCCAGTGCCCCGGAACTGAACCAGGGATGGACAGGGAGCTCCCCCAGCTCCTCTGTGCTTTATTGTCCAAGATGGCCTCAGCCTCTGCCTCCCCATGCGTTCTCCTTGGGCTTGAGTGGTGCACACCGTTATTCACAGTTCAGGTCATGTAGGTTGAGAGGCGGTGTTTAAAAAAGATATTTAGTTTTTTAAATATTTGGGATGCAATTCCCTGCAGACCTCTGAGAAATGGAAATAAGTCTGTACGAAAGTCAGAACTGTGGGTTGAGAACGGGATCTAGGCGGGGGGGGCTGCTGGCAGTGATGTGCCTTGACAACCGTGGGCTGGGCCCAGGGACTCTTCCTGTTTTGAAAGGAAAGGAAGGGAAGAATCGCACTGAACATTCCACTTAGGAAGAGGGTAAAGAAGTATCTGCAGCTGCCTCAGGCCACAGGACCCGAGTGGACCTGGGGTGTCCCAGACGGTCTCTCTTCGGGGTGGACAGTGACCTTTCATTCTTCAGGGGTGAGACAGCAGCCAGCTAACCTACGGGAATGACACTGTGGGTGAGGCCTTGTGAACTGCTTCTGAGAGGTTAACCTGGAAACCCACTCGGAGGCAGGGTGATGGAGGGGGCTTCAGGACTTGGCGCCTGCCTCGGCCCAAATCTGCAGGTGGCTTCCTGTGGGGTCAATAGGGCGAGGGCCACGGCCCCTAACTTGTAAAATAATCATAGAACCATTGAGGGACCTTAGGGTTCCCGAAGCCTTTTGGACAGAGGGGCCAGAAGTGGAAACTGACATTCAGGGTCACAGAGGAAGCTACCAGCACGGCCAGCCCTGAGGCCCTGATATCACGCTCGGAGGCCTTAGCACTGCTTTCCGTCCAGAGCTTCCTTCCCAAAGCCCTGCCACTGCCTCACATGGAGAGGGGTTAGTGGGGCCCAGTCTCTCCGGCAGGCTGTTCCTGGAAGTGATTTGCTGAGGGGACCTAGGCCTCAGGGGGTCCCTTGTTGATAGAGATGCAGAAGAGAACATTACTGGTTTCTACTTTTCTATAAAAGCATTTCTCTGTGTACATGTTTTATATACCTCATTCTGACACCTGCCTATAAAGTGCAGGAAATTGCTCTGCATTTGACTTATATAAATAAAAAAAAGACGACTCCATATTGCCAAGTTTTTGTGGGGTATCAGGACCCTCCTCCCCAAAGTTGGGAAGTTTTTGGTTACCTTGTCAACACCTGCATGGCAAGCTCTGGCTCTCTGTCCTTCACTCGGGCCCTGCACCTAGGAGGCAGCAGCAGCTGGATGGTTGGGAACTGCAGCCTCCGTGTTTGGGCGTCACAATCAGGAGCTTTTCAGGTCGAAGTTGCAGGAAAGAGGGTATGTGGCATCCCAAAGGAGGCTGGTCACTGCAAATCCTCTCCCCGTCAGCATTCTTTCCGAGGTGGAGATAGTTAAAACGAACATCCAGGCAGCCCCTGGCAGGGGCTGGAGACGGGGTGGTGGGTGGTGGTGCTGTAGCAGCCGAAGGAGGGATAGGTGTGCAGATGGGGGAGGAGTCTCCGGGCTCCCAGGAGCAGCTCTGGGCTGTGGAAGGTCCCTGCGGGGGTGGTTCCTAGGGCTCCAGAAGAAGCTACCAATGGGAGTTCGTTGGGCTTTTTAGCAGGGACTTAGCAGTAGGTTCTCAGCCTCTAGGAACACTTAGGGTGACCTCTGCCCATACTCAGACACTGCTCTGTACTTCTAGAAGCAAGGGGCACCCTAAAGCATCAGTTTTTCCAGGAAGCAGATCCTACCCTTCAGTTGGACTCCAGCTTTTGGAGAAATCACCTTTGGGTATGTGGATGCCTAGTGTGCCCGGGATCCTACAAGCCAGATCGCAACATCTTGCCCAGCCGTCACCCTCCACGACAGACCCCATGTGCAGAAGCAAGAAACAGGTCTCCCCCTGAGTACTTGCAGGGAAACACCAGGGGTGGGGGTGACTTGCATGCATTTCTTCCCTTAATGAAGGTGGCACCCAGCCCTGCAGAGGACTCCAGGATAGCCTGGCTATGGGAGCGCACAGATGTCAGAGGGTGGCAGCATATGGCCCTGAAGGGATGACTCAGGCAGGAGGTGGGAGTCAGACCTGCTGCAAGGCCGGGGCTGCCTCAGGTGGGTCATGCATGTTCTCTGGAGCAGGCTGGTGTCTGTGTAAGGAGGGGAATCAGAGGTGGGGGGCACGAGAAGTCCCTGCCATGGGGTCAAAGTGGCCAGCACACGCTCCACGTGCATCTCCCTGAACCAGGCCGCAAGTCACTCTCTCACTCTCAGCACGGTCGGTTATGTTAACTGCTTAATTTATTTGGTCTGCTCGATGGCCCCGCTTGGGCCCACTCCCCCACACTTGTGGGGACCACTGAGGCACCACACAATGCTGGCCTTCCCGCTGCCGGGAGCCCAGGGCTCGACCCTACAGCAAACCTGCACACTCCACACTTAAGTATGGTCTAGACAGCAAGGAAACTCTGGCCAGAGGTGACATCTAGTCCCACAACTCATCAGGTCTATGTACAGCGTTTCACATAACACCCCACAGATATAACAAGATAGTCTGAACAGCAACCGTTCTCCTGCATCACTCCCACCCACCTCCTCCCCCCCCAATATAACCACCATCGCAGTAAGTTCCCAAACCCACTCCTAATCTGTTAAATATGGTGCAAGGTCCCACTTATGGGGAGGCAAATCTACTTGTATTCAAGACCCCCACCCTAGCTCTGGAAGCCAGGGTAGAGGGTGTCCCCTGGGCTTTTCAGCACCCACAGCTGTGAGCTGTGGCTCAGGAGGCTGGGGCCAGGAGCTCATGAGCTGGGCCAGCCAACATGGGAGGTAGAAGCCAGAGAGCCCGGCTCGGGGAGATGTCCCCCCCCCAGCACCTCCGCTCTGGGACTCTGCCACCACATCTTGCCACCCAAGCTGCTGCCTGGATCAGGCACAGTGAGGGGTGAGCATCGGCTGCCACGAGGACAAGGCTGGGAGACTGCTGAGATTCCCAGCACCCCGCCCCATACACTGGGCCTGCGACCAGCCACACTGTCCTCCAGAACCCACCTAGCAAAATCCCAGGCTCCTGAGGTGCCTACCAGGGTGTGAGTGACAGCAGCCAGGATACTAGAGCTTTCTAGCGGGCAGGGCCTCTTTCCTTCCAGCCCCAGCCTCTTCCTGCACTTGTGGCTGACTGCTTGTGGGAGGCAGAAAGGAAGTTCCCAGCCAGTCTCCAGCCGCTCAGTTTGAGAACACGGGGGGAAGCTCCCCCTCGAGCTGATGTGGCCCCTGGGCCCGGGAGGTGAACAGAAACCAGCCCTTCCCCTGACTCCTGGCCGGACACACTACAGACCGACTAAGGGACCCTTCAAAACCTACTCCCTTGACCCTGCCCAGGGGAGGGCAGGATGTGGCGTGGAAGGGGGTAGCACCACTGTCACTTCACATCCTTGGATGGCCGCTCACTCTGCCACGCTCTCATGAGAAGTCCTTCTGCACCAGCTGGATCAGAGGCTTCAGAGCCCACAGGAAGGTGCACCTGGGATCCTGCCCAGCAGGTCCAGGTCACAATGATTAGTGTAAGCAAGAGCCTCCACTGCCAGGGAGTTCCCGAGTGGTCATGAGTAACAGATTCCTCCTGGCACGGGGACCAGGCTTTTTTTTTGTTTGTTAGTTTGTTTTCTTCTTCACAGCTTTCAGGCGAGTGTTGGATTTAGACAGTAACCAGGCCCCTGAACCTGTGGAGGTGGCTTCCCCGGTGCTGCACCCGCTCGCCTCCTGGGGAGGTAGTAGGGATGGCTGGTTCTGCTTCTAAACAAGCTGCCAATCCACAGGAAGCGCGGAAGGCCCTGCCCACAGCAGGGATGGGGCGCAGAGGGGGCAGTGCTGGCTGTGGAACGCCCCCCCGCAGGGGGCTGGGCCGGGGCTAGGGGGGAGAGTCCCGGGTCAGGCCATATTGCACTGTCACTGTGTGGTCCAGCTCCTCCAGCTCTGCAGGCAGTGGGATGCCCAGGTCCCCAAGGTACAGGGAGAGGGCCTCAAAGGAGTCCTCCAGTTTGGAGAATGCTGGTCTAGAAAGAAAAGGAGTTGGAGACAGGTGAGATACGGGGGTGGTGGCGGGGGGAGAGAAAGGGTGGCACAGAAGGCACCCAGGCCTGCGGCTCCACTGCTTCCTGGGTGTCTGACCTTGGGCAAGCCCCTTGACCTTGGTGTACCTCTGTGGGAAACAGGGGTCATGTAACTGTGTAGGATGTTGCTGTAAAGATGAGAGATAATAACACTGGGAGAAGGCTGGTCTGGCAGCTCAAAAAAAGCAAGTCCAGGAGAAAAAAAGCCCATCCCACGTCTTGGAGAAAATGCAACCATCACAGGTGGGACTGGACTAAGTACCCTTTTAAAGATCCTTTCCAGTCCTCAGACTGTTTCCACATCAATGGATCTGCCCCGGGAGGGGCATTTCATAGACTCTGGTAGCCCTTCCCAAGGAGTAAAGCAAACGCCTGGCTCCTAGTGCCCTGGAGACAGCTCAGCTGCCCTGGAACCCAACACCTCAGGCTTACTCTCCCGCCTCCTCCTTGATTCTGCTTAGATATCTTGTCACCTTCTTGGCAAGGCCTACTCTGTATAACTTGCACCCTAAACAATCCTCTTTCCTCGGCTTGACCCCTTTTTCCATAGCATCTGTCACTTCCTCACATGCAACACAGTTTGTCATATCTATTGTTTATCACTTCCCCTTGTTAGAATGTGAGTCCCCGGAGGGCAGGCCCCTTGGTTTTGTTCACTGCAGCATCCCAGAGCTTACGAACACAGCATCTGGCACGTGGTAGGCACTCAGTAATATTGTCTGAATTAAACAGACATTTACAATGACTGAGAAGGGATATTAGCAAACGAATATTGTGTGGCTTAACATTTTCTCCTCATGCTCTTGTTCTGGTGTGACTGAAGGATTTTGGTCCTTTGGTCCATGAAGGAACAAGATTCAGAGCCTCCCACCAGCAAATCCCAAGTCTAAAGTGGATCTTCGGAAATCATTTAAAAATAAAGGTTGGGGGCTTCCCTGGTGGCACAGCAGTTGAGAGTCCGCCTGCCAATGCAGGGGACATGGGTTCGAGCCCTGATCTGGGAAGATCCCACATGCCGCAGAGCAACTGGGCCCGTAAGCCACAACTACTGAGCCTGTGCGTCTGGAGCCTGTGCTCCACAACAAGAGAGGCCACGACAGTGAGAGGCCCGTGCACTGCGATGAAGAGTGGCCCCCGCTTGCTGCAACTAGAGAAAGCCCTTGCACAGAAACGAAGACCCAACACAGTCAAAAATAAAAATAAATAAATTAAAAGAAGGCTCAACATTAAAAAATAAATAAATAAATAAAAAAACAAAATCAACGTAACTATTTAAAAAAAATAAAAAAATAAAAATAAAGGTTATGTGCAAACTGGTTATCTTGGGGGGGATGGAGCTGGGGAGTGGGGAGTGCTGAGGGGCACATTGCTCAGGAGATTATAGAAAACGTATACTTCCTGTCCTATATATTTTGGTAATGTTTGAATTTGTTTTTTAAAAGAAACATAATTTTTGATAGCAGAAGCACAAAGGTTCTAGTTTTCTAATGCACAAACTTAAAAAGACTCAGAATAACTTTGGTAATAATGAAAGCTATAACCTGAGAAGAATAAAGGTAATTTTAAAAGATTTCTTTAAAGGAAGAAAATGGCTAAACGCATAAAGATGCTCACAGTAGTAACACCTATTGTAAGGAGAAACTGGAAAAACCTGAACAACTACATTATGTATATTATGTGTTCATACAGTCTCCTAGTGAATTCCGTAGTCAACAAAAATGATAATCTGGAATACTGGGTAGTGACAAAATGCAGAGCAAAATGTAAAACTTTTCTCTATTTGACATTATAAATGTACAAAACATACGTATTTGGACATGGACGTGGGAATATGGAAACATGGAGACACTTATGCTGTTAGCATGGTGTAGGTTTGGGTGAATTTCCTGCTGTTAAAGTTTCTTTTAACAGCTGTCTCTGGGTTACATCCAGGTCACTTGCTACGATACCCTCGTCTCCCGTCCCCTCGACTGGCATGTCAGGGTTGTCAGGTGGCTTCGGTGGTCG